TTTTTCGTTAGACTTAAGAAAATCGTTAGATTTATTTATGAGATAATAAGAACCATTAGACTTATTTTCGTTAGACTTAATTTTTGTTAGACTTATTTATGGGGTAATAAGGACCGTTAGACTTATTTTTGTTAGATTTAAGTAGTTAATATATTATTTAAAGAGCTAACTCACGCAGAATCAATTCCTGATATAATAATTTTCGTTAGATTAAAAAATATAACTGAAAAGTTGATATAGAAATTAAGATTTTAGAGCCTTTAGAAGCTTTTCTAATATAATAAAAAATCGTAAAAAATCAATATTGATTTTATAACTCTTACAAATACATAATGTTATGGAAGGATAGACATTTTTGTCCTTAAACCCCTACAATAACATTGTGTGTATTTATGAGTATTAGATTTTATTTATTAATTTGATTAGATTTTATTAAAAAATGTTAAATTATTTAAATTATTTTATTTTAGATCAATATTACAATTGATAAAAATGCTCATCATATAAATGTAAGTAAAAATCTTATACAAGAAGAAATATATAATGAAGTAGAATATTTTGTTTTATATGAATATAATGAATTAATTTGAATGTTTGTTTATGTTCATAAAATTAATGATTTGTAATATGACTATTATATTTTAATAAATTTAGTAGTTTTTAATTTATTAAAGTTAAAGGATAGATCATTATGTAGAATTTTTTAAAATAGAGAATAATCCTAAATACAAAATTTATATTTTTGATAGAGAGAAAATTTAATAAAATTATTATTACTATTTATTTATTTATTTATTTATTTTTCATTGGTAAGCATTATAATTTTATATAATAAACTTTTTTAAAAGTGCTATTTTATTTAAGATCAATAATATTATATTTTGTAATAATATCAGTAAATGCATATGAATCTTCTATATTCAAATTAATATATTCAATATTTTATTATTTTCATAATTTCTTTTTTAAATAATAGAAATAAAATCTTATATAATAAAAAAAATGTATATAATGGTAACACTTAGATTACCTGTATAAATAAACTGATTAAATAATATTACATTATATAATATCTAAAAAAGAAAACTTTGTCTTCCAGTAAAATTCAATTTTAGATCTCAAAATTAGTTGCACAAGTTTATAGATATTTGTGTAATATCATATGATATACTTCATTATAAAGTAACGGGTTAGCAGCTAGTAAAATAAAATTAAATAAAAATAAATAAAAAATAAGATAAAAAATAAATTATAATCTTAAAAAAATAAATTCAATTATTAAATTGCATTTGATTTTTTTTTCTTTTTCTTTTATTCATTATTCTCAAAAGAATTTGTATTTTTTATATTTATAAAGGTCTCTGAAAATAAATTATTATGTATAAAAATACTAACAAATATCTAACATCAAAATATGAAAGATTACCATTGTCAGCGTTGAGAATAGTTATCATTACAAATACAGAAAATATCATATAAGAATTATCAAATGATAATGTGCAGTAATGATCTACAATTACTGTGCTAGACAAATCAGAAAAATATTAAAGATTTACATGATTTATCTAATTAATCAAAATTCATTTGATTCTTCTGATATTGTGAATTCTAATTATACTCATATTAATACATAACTATTCATTTTAAAATGTCTTCATTGTATTTATTTATTTCATTATTTTATCTTATATTTTATATTTCTATTTCATTATCTTTTATTATTTTATAGCTAAAGTTTACTAAAATATTTAGTTTATAATATAGCAAATAGTTAGCTGTAGCAAATTTATTTTGTATAAATAGAATAATTTTTTGATTAAGTTGTAAATTAACTCTTTTGCAAGTTTCAAGTTATTAATAAAAGAATCAATTTAAATCTATACAAATTTACTTTTTCCTTTAATGTTATCCTTCATTTAGGATTTGTTGTAATACCTTACATTCACTTACTATTGAGTTCATTATTATGAGTTTGATTAATTATATCTTTAAATTTTAAGATGTGATAAATTGCTAAGTTGATTCAAATATAACGGATACCTGTAGGACTAAGAGAAAATCCTAAGATTAGAAACTTTAATGTGTGAAATTAACTTCTGCAGCCTTTCAATTTAGACGTTAAGATAATTAAAAATGAATCTAATGATAATTTGGTGATTCCTGTCAGAAGATAAAAACTTTTAAGAAAATTTAAAAATTGTGGATTTAAACAAGTTTAGACAAGAGAATCAAATACATGACCTTAATCATAGACCAGAAATCAATCCAAAAAAACTTTTTGGAAGAAATTTATCCTGTCTAATTTGTTATTCTTTTTATACCCCTGAACCTGAAAATTTTGGAAATTTGTAAAATTGGTATCAAATTTAATTTGAAGCATATAGATATATTGGCATTATCCTTGACCTTTTTATTTTTAATAGTCAAACTGTTCCTGAGTTGAATTTTCATCTAAACGATTGTGATTTTTTTTGAATCCTTGTTACTCAAATTAGTTCTTTAATTTGAAGTTATAGATATAAATCAATTGCAGCTAAAATACTTCTAATTGCTTAATTAATTTTCGTATTTATAGAAACTAGTTGTTTTACAAATAATCTTTCTCTATTTGTTGCATGGACACAATCTTTAATTAAATTTAATGATTATTTATTACAAAAAGAATTAAACGTGACTCTTTCAAAAAAAATACCACTAATCAAAAACAGATAATTCTCAATTCTGACAGACATATTAACTTAGAGACAGAAAGTCTTATATCTCTTCTAGACAATCTAATAAAAAAAAACACTTTAACTACCTCTACAAATATAGAGAAAACATCTAGAATATCTTTAAATACAATTATAGAACCTGAAGATAGTTAACCTCGCTTTCAACCATCTCAGTCTAATATTATTGAAACTCTCTTTCAAGAAACTGCAAAATCACCTTTAGATAATTATGACTTAAATATTGAGTCAGATAATGATCAAGTATACTTTAATAGCCTTTACAATCTTACCAGATCTGAAGTAGATAGGATTGTAAAAAAAAATAATACTGAATATCCACTAATTAATAATTCAAATTTTGAATACAATGATAACTAAATAGTAGATACTTTAAAAACTACAACTGAAATAATTAAAAAATAAAGGTCCAGAAATTGATAATTTGACTACAAGTTTTCATAGTATCTTACCTTCTTTAGGACTTAGAGAAAATCCTAAGGTCAGAAATTCCAACGTGTAGAATCAACTGTCGCAGCCTTTCAATTTAGATGTTAAGATAACTAAAAATAAACCTGATGATATCATGTATAAGTAAATTTGATCTAAATGCTAAAATATTTTCAGATTTTAATTTTAATCTTATATTGAGTTGAAAATATCACATTACCTTCTTTCCAATCTCCTAATGATATAAGCTAACAAAATCTATACTTATCATCATCACAGTTTTTATGATAATCACAAATGGTATTGAAATTTACTGCACACATTTCAAATATCTTAAACAATTTTTTTACTTATATAATAAAACTGATCTGAAAAACAAAGATTACTTAAATTATTAAACATTAACAGATAATAAAATACCATTATATTTGAAATATAATCTGCTAATTTATTGATATCATATAGTATTTCATTAATGTAAATATTAAATTAAATATATATTAAAATCAATAATATCAAAGTAATAATAATAAACAAATAATAAAAAAATTAATTACATATCATAATGATTCAGGTAATTTTCTTCATATTTGCCTATTTTATTTTCATAAACATAATCTTATAAACTACTTTATTATTATTACAACAAATTCCAAAATGTTGTGTAAATAGCTAGAATGTTGTAACTGAAAGTAATGCTGCTGCTGTTTCAAATAATGATGGTGATAATACTATTGATGCTGTTGTTAATATTACTTTTAATGATGTTAATGTTATTTTTACTTATTATTAATAAAAGAAATTTAAAGTTCTTTAAATAATTATACAAAAAAAAAATACAAAATTATCTAATAATATACCTAAAAATAAATAATTAAATCTCTTAAATTTTAAAGAAGCATGAGATAAATCATTATATATATGAATCCAATATGATTAAACTACACTATCTGCATTTATAATTAAATATATCTTTTCTTTAGATATTTCAAATAATCAAAATAATATTTCACCATTTTCACCTACACAATGGTAATTTTCTATATAATAAATTTATTATATTAAAATTAATTTTAAATTATACATAATATCCAATCTTAATTTCAATCAGAAAATATTTCTTTAAATCTAACTCCTTATTATCAGGATTTTTTTTTTTAAATTGTTGATATTCTTAAATAATTTTCGTTTCATATAATGAATTTTTTTTTTATTTGAAGATTTTAATTGTTTTTTATTTTGTTGTTACTGCTGCTGCTGATGATAGTAGTGGTGTTGATGATCATCTTGCTCCTTTTTACTTTGCTGCTACTGCTGCTGATGATGATGGTAGTGGTAGTGGTGATGGTGATGGTAATGGTAGGGAAATTGCTTTTTCTGACTATTCTCTACAAATCCGAATTCTTCTGCATATTTCAGTAATAATTCATTTAATTTATTTTTAAAAGAAGGAAATGAATTTTTACTCTTCCTTTTGATATTTTTTGTACAAGAGTAAGAAATATGCGTTGAAAGTTTGTTGAAAATATCATGAACCACCTGACAAGTTTCTTAAATATATTCATTATATTCAAGCAAAACTAACCAACCTTTAAGTTCAAAACAGATGCTAGTTTTTTGAACAGATGGAAATTTTTCTGGATTATCCGGCACCTCCATCACTTCACTACGTCAAATTCTACATATATAGCCTTGTGGATTGTCAAGATAGACCATCATTATCATCAATTCCAAAGTTAAGGCATTAGTTGAATTATTGCAGAGTTATAATTCATATATAAGGAACATAACTGCATGGACGATTCCAACCGTCTGCATTTTTGCATACCTTTCCCTATTCTAATCTACTTTTTTCATTAACTTTACCAGCATATCCTTAAGAACTTTGGGTAATATCAAACCCGCCTCAAGAAACTTGGTTTCATGATCATCCGTCCAAACATTTCCAGCTTCGCTTGCTTCAAACTCATGTTTGTCACTATTAGTGATGAACCTCACGATCCAATCACCCCTGCGACCCATTTTTCGTCTCTCTTCAGATTTTCTTTTCATATTTTTTCGATAAGCTGTTGCCAAACTTGTACTCTCGCCCCTTGATGTTGTTAAACATTGTCAGATTCATCAAAGAAACAACATATAATTTTTAAAATTACCTGACGACGGATATCACATTAATATCACCAAAAGCTTGGTCAAAGATTACACTCCAAATGTGACAATTGAACCAAGCTTCCAGTTTCGTGTCTTTCATGCTCCCACCTTGAACTTCTCGAACTCTAAAATAATAAATAAATTTAGTTAGTCCCGCCGATGCATCTAAAGAGCTTTAATAAATTATTCACAAAGAACAAAAATACTTACAATGAGTGCATAGATTATATAATCCTTATCGTAGTAGTTTTCGTGATCATAATTGATACCAAACATCTTTGACTTTATGGTCTCTCTAATCTTATTCAAGCTAGTCTACAATAGGAAAAGGATTGGTGACTGTTTCAATACATCCATTTTTGTCATTAACATGTAAATGAATTATTACCTTGCCAACGAATTCATATAAAAATTCAGCGATTTGATCTGGGAGATCAGGTACGTGAAACAATCAATTTCTTCAAGTTCTGTATCATTGAAGTGCAATGAAATTAATTCATCATCGGCGTCTATAATAGACAAATGGATAGCATTAAGAAAAGAATAAGACCAAAATTTAATAAACTTATTCCTACACGAACATAATCTCATGCATAAATACTAACGGCTCGAATTCCAGTTTTTGCCCTAGTCTATATAGTTCTTTTTCAACGAATCTTCCAGTCGAAATTTTTCACATGTATTGCTCATCCATTGACTTAAAGGCTGTATCAATTTCCTCTCGATTTTTCTTGCCTAGTCTAACCTATACAGGAAAAGTATAAATTTTGTTATTCGTAAAAAAAAATGTTTAATGAAGATTTACTTTGTTTTCTTCGCCACTTTGGCCACTTCCTTCACCTCTTCTTGGTCTTGATCATCAATCTCTACTTCAAGAGTAGATGTGGTGAGTATAGTAATATTTACAGCTAACAACATATGGGGGCTAAGCTATTAAAATCACCTTACGGGATAAGAAATTGATTTTGAGTAAATAATGATTAAAAAAA